TTTGAACCACTCGCCCCCATGGCGAAAGACAGTTTAAAGGGTACGGGAAGAGATTTTCAACCTGACACAAATCAAGATGGATTTGTGTCAGGTTTGGTTTGTTTTTCTGATGAGTCCTACGGGATATATCCACTTAAGAATATTCTGCAACTGAGTGAGGTTGCTAAAACATGCACAGTAAAGCATAAAGGTTGCAAATATGAAGCAAAATTGATTGCTGTGAATGGTAAGTGTAGTGTTGAGTTTCTATTTTGAAATATTGAAAATAATAAATGTCAGTAAAATCTGAATTTGGATAATTTCAATGATGTAGTGAGATTGTAACGGAATGCTCATTCTTGTATATTTTCAGCAAAAATAGATGAATTGAAACTAATTCAGGAAGAGGAAATTAAAAAAATAGAGATACCTGCAGAAACATCCAATGCCGAAAACAGTTTCATGGATTTTTCAATTGGCATCGATTATGTTGATATTAACAGATCATCGAATTCATTTATCAACAATTTTGATAACTCTGTCTTCAATGAAAATTGTGAACAGAACTGTGGAGATTATGAACCACAAAATGATGAATGTGAACAAGAGAAAACGGATGCTGGTCAGTCTGCAGATATATCAGGTATGAAGATATGTTTCGTTGACTGTTGGTATCAATTGTATATTCATTTTTCCAGGCCCCTGTGATAAAAAAGAATATGAGGCTGAAGGTTACTGGGATCATGAAAAAAGACATGATTTGGAAGTTTCAGGTAAGGTTTCTCTAAAATATCCGTACAGGATCATAGTAAGCATGAAAAAATAATTCTTTTCAATAAAATATACAACCAAGAGGCTCACAGGATGAATGCTTGTTGAGAGCCAGATTATATAATATCAGATTCAAAGGTGTAGAAGTTATTAGGTGGGTATTTTTATAAATTCATCAGACAAAACCATAAAAGTTCTAGATTCCATTAAGGACATTCAACAACATCTGAATGTTCCGTCGTCTGTTTTATCTGTTTTTGAGCAGAATCGAAAGAAGTGAATCAGTATTTCAGCTCTTCGAAATTTAAGAATCATGGATAATGTTTTTGAGGTCTAGAGTAAAAGATAACATTAGGGACCATTTTCCTTATAGGAAAATATCACTTTTCATCCATTTTTGATATCTTCATGTAAAAATGTCTGATAAACGTATGGAAAAAAGTCAAAGGTTCTTGTCTATGACTAAAACAACAAGAAACTCACATGAAACCATGAAACATTTTTTCAAACTGTTAATTAATAAGGTTTCACATCATCATACAAATCAAAATTAAAAATTCATTCAATGCTCCGTAAAATACTGATTTGACCGAGATATATTATAGGTATCTTTTGTCCATCTATGCAAATAATAAGTCAATATTTGGCTATTATATATTGAGAATATTATATAAGAAATTATTTATTGTCATAAATAATTTCTTATGAAATCTAGCTAATTGATAGCCTCTTGTCTGATCGTATCTATGGAAATCTTTTGACATTTTTCAATTCCAGATTTTGAAGAATTTCACATTGTCAAACACGAATTCCAAGTTCAATAATTCAATTGTTGTTCTCGTTTACAGGGTTGCCAGATCGCTTTAAAAACCTTCTGGGACCGGGAAAAAATGAAATCATGAAAAATATAAAAAAGTATTTTAGAAATATCCTAGTAGATCAAACCGGTGATACCCTTGAAAACTCAGGGAATTTGACATTGTGAAATGTAGGATAATAAATTTCTCAGTTGCAGACAAGATATCACAGACATTCTAAACAAGTACATACCCCAATTACACTTAACGGACACGTATCTTAAAATGTTTTCCATTCTACTATCACCCAATGAATTTTCCTTTTTTTTTCAATATGAATTTTCACAAAATTAAACAAAAATTTTTGACGTAGTCGAGTTTCTCTTCTCCCCACACTATCCCACAAAGTGGAAAATTTGAGACAAATATCTGTCAGAAAACAACTACTTCCCCCTAGGGACATTGAATTACATCTGACACATATTTGCCTCAAATTTTCCACTTTGTGGCATAGTGTGGAGAGACGGGGAACTCGATTCCGTCAAAAATTTTCACTTCATTCAGTTAAAACTCTCCGGCACACTTCTCGAACTTAGTACGAATCATGCATTAATTCTTCCCAGAGTCTGTTCTACCGAGGAGTGCTTCTTGTTGTCGAGTTTTGGGTGTTATCGTTCATTGGGTGGGCCAGGATAACTCTGATGTTGTCCGACCTATCTTTGCACTGATGAGTGGGGAAAAAACGCGAAACAGGTCGTGTCTGCAGGTGTTTATTCCCAGCCAATGGAGCATAATATTCAATTCTTGATTGTAACTAGTACTTGCAATTGTGTCCTCATGGAGGAACATTGCACAAATTGATGTCAGATATAATTCAATGTCTCTAGGGGGAAGTAGTTGTTTTCTGATAGATATTTGCCTCAAATTTTCCACTTTGTGGGATAGTATGGGGAGAAGGGAAACTCGACTACGTCAAAATCTTTCGTTTCATTTAGTTGAAACTATCCTGCACACTTTTCCAACTTAGTTCGAACTACAAATTTTCATATTTATAATAACGCTTTCGATAAAAAAAATAGTTTCTGAGTGAGTTTTCAATTGTGCATGTTCTGATTCTAGTTGTGTTCTTGTAGAGGAAAAAGAAGACAAAATGTTTATGAATGAGTCTGATATAAAAATATCGTACCTAGTAACAAAGAAAAATACTTACTTGGTGGGGCCTAAAAATGCACTGGAGTGTTTTCACGGAAAAAACATTCATTAAACCACGAAAAAATGATATTAGAGAGGGAAATTACAAACTTTTCGTACCTAGCCATCATAACATTAGATAATTGTCGTCTTTTGCAGACAGTTAGGATTTCTTTTTCTATTTCCAACCATTTAGTGCCAGCCTATAAAAAATGGTTCAACTTAAAAAGTTGGAATACATTAGTCGAATGATTGAGATTTTCACCTCAGATAATTTTGAAAAAACTTGTTGAGGTGGTGATGAATGGATTAGTTAATAAATAATAGTCTGTAATGAAGTTGAACTTCGTCATTATCTTATTTAAGATATATGAAAGCTAGTTCTTTTTTTCCTGAAAGAACTGGAATAAATGTAACATCAATTTCCTCCTTAGGGTGAATATAGGAAAGGTTTCGTCCAAGAAAAACCACATGTGTGCTCAATAATTTCTCATTTCTACAGTATTTTTGACATAATCTTATGAAATAATAGTTTCTTTATTTCGTGATTGTCGAATAGTAATCAATTTTAAGAAAATTGACGAATGGTGAAGTTTCTGTAACAAATTGTTTTTGTATATAGACTCTAGGAATTACATTATTTCTGCTCCAATTATAATTTTTTATTTTAGAATTCGAAGACAATTCAGAAGATGACCCAAATTATGAAATATCCGATAGCGATTGTTCCGAAATTGTTAATATTGAAAAAACTGACGCATCTACAAGTCAGTCAAATACTGAACTCCTATGTTACACTAGAGATTTCCATGCCAGCTCAAATGACACTGAAAAGGAGAATGAAAATATTTCGAACAATTACTCATCACCGATTGAAACGTGCTTATCTGCTTCTCTCACGGAACCAGGTTCTTGTGATGATAAAAACATGGTAGTTATGTGTTTTTTTGTGTTTATTGTAAAAAAAAACAACAGAAAATAGCTCGACATTTGGAAAAAAAACATAAAGACGAAAAAGAAGTAAAAAAATTCATGTCATTACCAAAAGGTGTTCCTGAAAGAAAAAAAATCATCGGTGAAATTCGTAAGCGGGGAAACTTTGTTTTCAACACTGACAAAAACTACAACGATGGAGAATTAATCGTGTCACGACGTCCAAAAAATGCTGAAAATAAAAGTGCTAAAGATTATAGGGCATGCGCAAATTGTAGAGGTTTTTTTTCAAAACTGACATTGAGAGTTCATTTCAAATCTTGTACAGGAACAAATAGCCAACACCATAGGATGGCCACTTTACTGAGCAGAAAAGTCGCTGGTAGAATTCACCCGAAAGCTTCCAAAGTTGTTAAAAATTATTTATTTCCTCCACTGCGTGATGATGATGTATCAAGGGCTATCAGATATGATGAACTCATAATTATTTATGCGAACAAAATGGTTCAGAAGTATCGAGAATCAAGACATTTTCAGATGATTCGTCAGAGGTTACGATTACTTGGTAAATTGTTAATCACGATAAAAGAGACGAGTAATGAGATAATGGATCTCACGTCTATTTATGATCCGAAATATGTAGATGATGTACTCAAAGCTATTAACCTGTCTGCTAAATATACCGAAAGTGAGAATAGTTATCAAGCACCGTCAGTAGCCTTTAGTTTGGGTACATTATTGAAACAAATTGGGAACATATTGATTACTCAGAGCATAAAGGATCATAATGATTCCGCTAAGAAGAATGCTGAAGACTTCTTGACAGTATTCTCCCAGGAGGTGAATATAAACGTTAATAGAACCGTTGCAGAAACTCAACTGAAGATGCAGCGAAGGAAAAATATAATTCTGCCATCCATGGAAGATATCAGAAAGTTGCGTGATTATTTGACCACTGAAAGGAATTTCGCAATGGATGGTGTCAAAAAGATAATCTCTCCAGCAACCTGGTTGAAACTGGCAGAACTTACACTAACATCCATCCAATTATTCAACAGGCGTAGAGCGGGCGAAGTTGAGAGGATAACAATTCAAGATTTTGGAACACATCAAACAATTGAAGAAAGTAATTCTGATTTATTTGATTCGCTATCAAACATATCCAAGCAAATAGCTAGAAAATATATAAGATTTACAATAAGAGGGAAGTTAAATCGTACGGTTCCAGTACTTTTGGACACAAATTTGTTGGAATGTGTGGAATTAGTGATGAAACATAGAACTGAATTTGAGGTTTCGAACTATAATCCTTACATTTTTGGATTACCAGGAGGTGATAAAAAACAATACCCTCATCTTCAAGCTTGCCATTTAATGCGCAAATTTTCCGAATGTTGTGGGGCTGAACATCCAGAAAGACTACGAGGAACTCATTTACGGAAACACATTGCCACTACCTGCGTTATGTTAAATTTAGAAGCTCAAGATATCTCTGACCTGTCCAACTTTATGGGACACTCAGAGAATATACATAAAGGAATTTATAGGCAGCCGATTGTTAGCAGAGAAATTTTAGGTATTTCAAAACTATTGGAGGCAGCTCAGGGAACTCAGGGAATTGAAGCAGCAGATGATAGCGATTACAATAATTCCAGTGATGAAGAAGAATTTAGAGAGGAGTATGAATATGAAAAGCCCGCAAAGTGCAGTTCCAGTACAACGCCTCGAGGTCCGTCTGATTATTTGACTAGCACCAAAAAGAAAATAAGTAAGTTTGTTGATCTCATTTGCCTTGAATATTTGTTATGCCCGATTTCTTCTTCTCGATGGTTGTTCTGCTCAGGCCTTTCATCTAATTCCAACCTTCATTTTGAATTTTGTTATCAGGAAATCGTATCAGTTGGACCCTTTATCCGGGCACTCCGACCTTTACGAAGGACTTGTTATTGTAAATACCCCACAGATCACCCCCCAACAACCGCCTGCATTCATACGTCTGCCTTTTTGCCGACTGGATGTGCTGAGAGCAAATGCATAACGCCTCAGGCACCTAGCGGCAAGACCCGTCAGTATTCTCAATAATCATCATTTGGAATATTTTAATTCGATTTTTAGGTTTTGATATGTTTTTCAATGAAGGTACTTTGGCGGCAGGTTGTACTAATTAGAAGTGCGTGGTTATGATGTTTTTGAATAGCTGACTATTTTTAGGAAAATAAACGGTTGAATTGATATACATTCCACGTAACGAAAATCCCTTTAATTTTTTTTCAAGTCTAGTCGGTAAGAATTTTAATTTCCCAGACAACGTTTCATGGGCCTGTCCCATTCTGTTTTGAAGTATTTTATACAAAAAGTTTCTGACAGAAAAACTTATTGAAACTTGTTTTTGAATTACTAAAAGCTCAACACGAATGAGTTCTAGATAGTTGACTGATCTTGTGATTGGAGAACTATGAAAATATACAGCCGGCTTAGAAAATATTGCCTACTGAATATCTCAGTTAATGTATGAGATAGGCTTCTGAAATGTGGAGCATCGATATAATGACATAAGAATTGAAGCATATTGACCTACGTTTTATTTGAATATTACTGAAGTTTTATCCCAACACCAAACTGTTATTTTTAACACCTCGACACGTGTTTCAATCACCAAGTGATCATCTTCAAGAGGAAGATTAAGCTTAGTTTAATATTTCTCTTGAAGATGATCACTTGGTGATTGAAACAAGTGTCGAAGTGTTACGCGTTGAAAATAACGGTTTGGTGTTGGGATAGAACTCCAGTAATATTTATTGATACTCCAAAGGATACTCAAACAGTGCATCACAAGTACGTGTTATTTATTACTCCACATTATTTTAAATATTATTTTACTCAAAGCAATGAATCTGTTTCTTGTTATTTGAAGAGTGATAATTGGATTTTTTTATATTCCATTTCAAAAAATTACTTTTCATTATATCATTAGGATGATTCTGCTGAATAGTACAGGCAAGAAAGAGTAGTATGTTCCTATTTCAGTTTTGGACTTACAGAGTACCGATTTTTTTTCCAATTCTTCCAATCTTCATTTTTGACGGCTTTAAATTAATTATAACAGTAGTAGCAACTGTTATTAAGTGACGTACCTTTTCCGTGGCCAACTATTGAATTTTTAGTGTTCATTTTGCTTTCATGGCTGTGAAAATCAATGATTATTGTTTCTTATTGAAGCAAAAGAGAATTGAAACTTTCATTTTTTACCACTTTTATTTGTAACCAACTAAAGTTTCAATTCTCTTTTTCTTAATTATGATTTTCTACCATGTTTGACGTTACTTCCGGTCAATATGCTTGAATTCCAGCTCTTATATCATTTAATCGACGCTACAAATTTCACAAGCCTATCTCATACATTACCTGAGATATTCGGTAGACAATTACTTCCGTATCTTCCGTAGCCATCCATTTGGAAAGAAATGAAATTCAGATCTTGGAAGCCCTTCAAAGGTGTGATTTATTGGAAAAACTAGTTATTTCTCCATGTTCCAATTCGAAGTAATTTTCATAAAAATTAAATCACCTTGTGTATCTGAAAATTCAGTAACGAGTGATATAATTATATTTTTATCATTTCAGCTACAGAGAGATATGGATTCACAAAAAAAGTAAGGTGGACGGAAGAGGAAAAGGAAGCAATTTTCCGGATATTTAGCGAAAACTTACAAAAGGAGGTGTTACCGTCACTGAAAACTATCCAGTTGGTTATCAAAGAAACGAGGTTCCAAACAGTGCATCATAAATTATCATACATCTTCTGAATATGCTCTTATATTTTTTTCCGCAATTAGTTATCACCCTGAATGGAAGTCTATCCTTCAATTTGTTCGGTGAACCAAGGACTCAAATCCACGCGATACAATCAATGAATTATCATAATCAGAAAATTCTGTTTCGCGACAAATTTAAATTGCATGGAAACCATTCATCGGCATAATGCTACAAAGGAGTTCTCCAAGAGAATTCCAATTACTCTTGAAGCTCTCATTTCGAGTAACGAGTTATTTTTTTTTGTACTCTCGAGATGGCGATATTAAATTTATGGAATATTCCATTGTGTGAAAATCAATGGATATGGATTTGACTGAGTTAAATTAATATTTTTTTGGAAGTCTCACTTTGGGCTTACCGATGCAATTGAATATTTTGAAATTACGCAATTCTGGACATCGTTTGAAAAATTCTTTGGAAATATATCATTGATATCTCTCTTCAGAGGTTTTCACTTGATTCAGGAAAATTTTAGCATTTGGGGAAACATCTACAGCTCTCTAGAATGGTGTCCTACCTAGGTCAAAGACGAAACGGACTGGTTTAAGTTTGAGATAGACGTGTCATTAAGTGTTCTAGCGATGTATTGAATTTATTGGATCCTCTGGAGACACCCTACATTTTGTTTTATGAGAGAGAGGATATTGGCAGATCAAGATCTTCAGATGATGTGGTGGTGCAGGTTTTTCCGTGTTTTCCCTGCAGATGAAAAAGCAAATGCGCCACTGGAATCAATGAAGTCGCCCCGGAGCGCCAATTAATTTTTGTTGTTGTTTTATAATTTCATTATTTGTATTTTGGAAGTGTTGATACAATTAAAGATTTATCTATCGATTTGGCTTGCGTCCATGAATTCATGGATGTCTTTATACATGCTTTAGCTACCCTGCAGAAGGGTTCTGGGCTAGAACATTGCCCTTATGACCCTCATGTTCGGGTGACCCTATTTTGGGTACTTAGCTCCTTGAGTGCGTTCAGACAGCTTCCCACCAGTCTTGGGAAGACTTGAAATGAGCTGAGCGCCTTAATTGCCGCCTGGCTGCCGGAGAAAATGGCAATGGTTTTATTTGTGACCTTCTGCCTGTTTATTTCCTCTAGACCGTGTTCGATGACCGCTACTTCTGCCTGGAACACAGTTGTATGATATCCGAGGCTGAGTGCGATTCTCGTCTTTGCTCTGCCTCCGTGTTACCAACTCCACTATATAGTTGAACGATCGAGTGATCAGGTTAGGACGAATGATGAACAATAGGTGGGCGGAGCCTATGCGCGCGCTCCGCAGATAGATAAATATAGCGCGTTTCGCAGGCTAGGCAGCTTCAGTTCTGCCTGACGAACAATTCGGTTTCAGGAGGGCACACTCCACCGAGTTACAGGCCTTGAGACTGGTCGAAAATGCCATCTCAGAGCTGAATAACAGGAAGACTGTACACCTAGTCCTCCTGGATATTTCAAAAGCCTTCGACCGTGTATGGCACGAAGGCTTACTGCATAAAATGCTCGATTTCGACCTGCCTCGGGGCCTGATCCGGTGGATTAGGTCCTTCCTGAAAGGCAGATCATTTCAGGTCCGAGTTGAAGGAACCCTGTCTCCGGTCAGGGAAATCCAAGCTGGAGTGCCTCAAGGAGCTGTGCTGTCTCCACTACTATACAGCCTTTACGTGAGCGACCTCCCGAGGTTCAATCACGTGAAGACTTCCCTATACGCCGATGATACGGCTCTCCTCGCTTCTTCCATGGGACAGGGGTTGGCGGTCGTCTACATGCAACGCGCATTGGACGACCTCGAACGCTGGTACCTACAGTGGAAGATTCGGGTGAATCCAGACAAAACTCAGGCGATAGATTTGGGGAGGCGAAACGTTTCTCCAGACACAAGAGTCACGATCTCAGGCAGGGAGATCGAATGGCAAACGCGAGTCAAATACCTAGGTCTTTGGGTAGATCGCCGACTCACCTGGGCAAATCACATTGATTACATCAAAGGCAGGTTGCAAATGAGGACAGCCAAGCTCTATCCTCTGATAAACCTTAAATCAAAGTTGAATCTTAAGAACAAGATTTTATTATACAACACGATGTTCAAGCCTGTCATCATGTATGCTTCAGGCGTTTGGGGACAAACCGCTCCGACAAATCTCTCCATTCTGGAGAGATTGCAAAACAAAATCATTAGGATGCTGGTGAATGCTCCATGGTTCGTGCGGAATGAAGCCATCCGCAGAGATTTGAAGCTGTTAACCATACAGCAGTCCATTCAGTTGAGGAAGTTCAGGAAGGGGTACACAAGGCCAGAGCGGCATAGATGTCATTGACCTCTATGTCGTTAGCAAAACAACACCTTGAGATTTGAACCACTCGCCCCCATGGCGAAAGACAGTTCAAAGGGTACGGGAAGAGATTTTCAACCTGACACAAATCAAGATGGATTTCGTCTAGGCAGCTTCAGTCTGAGACTCGGGCTCTGACTTAATAGAGTGATCTTCGCGAGAGAATATTGTTGGCAAAGGACTATAATATTGGAAGCTGGTTAAATTGTAGATATATTGCAAAGGACTATAATATTGGAAGTTGGTTAAATTGTAGAAATATTGTAAAAGAAGTCTACAGCTTTGTCAGAGATTAGGGAAGTACAAAACAAATCCCCAAGATACTTCCCTAAGTGGATTCGCTTATCAAACAAAGCCAGGAAAAATTGTCTTTTTCAAGACAAAGGCAATCATATAAAAATTACAAAGGAAAACATTTCCGAGTTATTGGATGTGTACATATCAATTCTACGTATATACTGCCGTGGTACTATAAAGGAAAGACGGAGTTCTGTGGATCGTCCCGTTCAGGAGATAGAGTATACCAGGAGTTGCAGAAAGTAACAAAAATCTGAACTTTTCAGTTTAAACCTGCCCTTTTCAGGACTCCTTGATAAAACGAATTCGATTCCAACGCTTCGTCATCGAGGGACCAACTAGCCGGCCTCCTTCGACGTATTCGACCTGCCCAGGCCCGAATACATCTGGAGTGTCGGTTAGGGAGTAGGGATCGTAGGGAACCCTCTGGTCCGGCCTAGTGCCATCGTGGTGGCCAGTTACACCCCCGCGGCGCAATTAGTTTAGTAGAAGATAGGGAAACTAATAATATAGCCGATCTGTTGTTCTTAAACGAATGGTGATGGAGAAGGAGCTTCGAGAAAGTGAGATGCTGGAGCCGAGTTTCCTGTTTGAAGGAGACTCTGGTAAAAGATCATCTGGAGGACTAGCACCCACCAGCTCTGGTCTCGGTGCGGCAGGCGGCCTGGGGTTTGCTGATGTCTTAGGACTCCACGCCCAGCCGGGTGTCACTTTTAACAGACATCCCCAGGTACCGTCCTGGCGACATCCGTATATACTGGCTTCCACTCCTTCTTCAGTCTTTCAGCCATCTGTATATCAAGTTCCTTCCCCTTTTACCGGTGGGCTGTTTTGCCAGTCCTCTCGACTTGGTATGATGATTTTGAAATCTTTTTGAAAGTTGTACCGCGGAATTGTGTTATCCACGGGCATTCCCAGTATTGGATCTGACCTTAGTTCATGATACAGTTTCAAATATTCTACACCGTGTGACTGGCTGATTGGGATTAGCCTGTGTGTCATCAGTCGAGCTTCTCTTCGTATGTAGATGTGCAATGGTGGAAGTTCTGGTACTACCTCAAGTGCTGCAATTGCGGTCATTCTCGTAGCTCCCGCGACACATAGGCACGGCAGCCTTCGTATGCCGCCATAGCCTAGCCGTACCCGAATGCCTTGTCCTTCTCTACCAAGTCACTACATCGTATGTGTTGTATATTGTATATAACCAGAGTGTCATTTTTGGGTTCAACCCAGAGTTTTTCAGGCACATTCTTCTGCAGATTCCCAGGTCCATCCTGGCCTCATGTGCTATTTTTTATATGTGGAGGTTCCACGTGAGCCTGTAATAGAAAGTCACACCAAGGTATTTGATTTCTGTGGCTAAAGGGATCTCCACTTCATTGAGTATTGGTGGATTTAGTCCTCGCATCACTATTTTCCTTGTGAACAAGACGACAGTGGTTATTTGGACATTCATTGAGAGGTTATCATGCTCGCACCATTTGCCGACGATGTTCAAGGCTCTTTGCATGCTCCGAGATGACGCCTTCAAATTTCCGTTTTGTGACTATTACCAGATCGTCAGCATATCCCAAACATACATGCCTTTCCCAGGCATGCCTTCTTCAGGCATATATTGCCGAAGGATTGCAACCGACGGATTCTTCTTTCGGTTGTTAGTATGTAGTGGGTTTGACTAGGAGAGATATCGCAGTATATCATGGTTTTATTATTCTTCCAAATTTGCCTGTCAGTGCTTCTAGAAGATTCTTTTTTTTTAGACTCTGTCTTAAGTGTCGCGTAGCTTGGTATCCCAATTGAGGGTCATTATGAAAGTAAACCTCAACTGGAACAGAAAATTCTCTTCCAAATGACTGACTTATTGGTGGTTAGTCTGGGAGTGTCGTGCTATCAGGATATCTGAATAGAATAGTTCATGTTTTGGTAAGGGTCATTCTGATTTGCTACTTGCTGCACCATTCTGCAAAATGGTTTATCTCGTTCTAGGTTTGGGTTTTGCAGTATGTGAGTGTTTGGGGCAGAGAAATATAGAATTGTGTCATCTGCGCATTGAAGAATTTTTTTGGGCGTTTTGGAAGGGATAGAACAGAGCCCTGGAGAACTCGGATTTTGGGAGTTAGGGGAGTGGAGAGCTCTGCACCAACTTTGACGTGGAGTTGTCATCTAGAGAGTGGATAGATGATTAGCCTGATGAAGTGAGACTAGAGGAATATGATAATGAGTTTTTAGATGAAGCCTGCGTGCCGGGCCTTATTCAAAGCTTTTTAGGTATAAATAAGATAGCGTAAGGGAAGTTAATATTTCAGATGATGTAGATTTGAGGATGGATGTGAAGATTGATGAAGGAGTTTTGGTTGGAGTGT